CTGATCTTTTAAATGGTCGCAGACGTGAAAGTGATGTTTCGGATCGGTCCATCCTCTCAGTGATTACTGTGGCCTCAAGACACCATAGTGCTAATGCTGCCGTCCAATAGGACTCTCAAAATTGAATTTTCTGTAACAAAGCCTGTCCTACCCTTCAATATGACTCAAAGATTTTTGTACAAGTGACTATTAACTTGACTGTAATTTGACATTAAAATATTGATCTATTTACTGTGCGCCTTGTTGTGGAGACATGAGAACGTTGCTATTTTAAGCATCCTTACAAACAATGATTAAAAATAAAACTTGCAGGAGTAATAATTGCTTCGTGGGTTTGTTTCGAACAAAAAACTGAATATGTCCATGTGAGTCATTACACAATTAGTTTCGTAGACACGTGGGATCAATGCTCATGTGAAATATTAAAGTATTATGGTAAGGTTCAAGGTTGAGTTTGGGCGCCGCAAGTGATTGACCTCGAACTCGGGTGTGATTACGTAATGGTATAGTTTTTGTGTCCAATCACTTGTGACGAAAACAAACGAACACATAGTCTTTAACTCAACTACCTACTTCCCCATTAGACGAACTGATAGTGAACAGGTCGATTGCTTCGCTGATTCATTGTTTCGAAACAGTGCTATTAATTTTGTAATTGCATAAAATTTAGTACTAAGTTTTAATTGTAATAGAAAGGTGTTCGATATTTAGAAAACCACAACACCATCACGAAATTTGAGGGGGAGGAGTCGCCGTCCAAACTATCACAATTAACAATAACTCTTCAGGACCCGATTGAATACCGTCCAATTTGAGGTACGAGATCGAAGTCTCAATTCTCTGGCAACAAAGACTAGTCCAGTCTTCAAACCAGAAAATCTAGGAAAAAAGACAAGACAACGATACCCACCCGTGCGGGCTCACAAAACGCCCATGACGTTGCTGACGTACTTAAAAGACAGTGACCACTATCCATCAGGTGGGATGTGTGCTGGTCTGCCTACAAAATCAATAAAAACAGAGGAACGATATTCGGATTCCCAAATGTCTAGTTCGCGTCAGGAAGCAACGACTGATTGAAAGTGGCAAGTGTCGCGTTATGTCGTCACGGAGCGGCATCATGACGACGGTAACTAACGAGCCAAACTACGGAATGTAAACCGGGAATACACTCTACATAATTTGAAGCAGATTTATTGAACTAACAAACTTTTACACAAACATTTCGAGGACGGAGCTCAATGTCAAGAGTCGATGCCCAGATATTTCACTACACACTTAATACAGTGAGCATTTTGAAGAATTATATTATATAGACTTGCACTTGTACAGAACGGACGACGAGCTCACGGTCCGCGTAGTCCTCGGTTGGCGACACAAACTACATATCAGAAAGCGTGAGGAAAAGATTTTTCTAGTCTTTTGTAGGAACTGACCGTGAAGGTGCTCCTCAGAGGTGTTCCTCGACATTTGAATATTGCACTAACGACTGTATTCTGTCCTACGTACCAACGTTTATAAGTTTAAATTATATTAATCTGACCTTTCTTTGCACACAGCAACAGGACTAACTAGAGTCTTGAGGTCTGGCAATATTAAACTTTAAAAAGTAGTTTTAATAATGTTAGCGACTCACGAAAAATAATGAAACCACTACATTGACTACTACACAGACGAAGTTACTGCTAGCGGATCTGCCAGTTAGGATCTTTCTTGCCACGTACCATCCGGCTTTGGAATGAACTCCCCTCCACGGTGTTTTCCGAGCGCTATGACATGTCCTTCTTCAAACGAGGCTTGCGGAGAGTTCTTTATGGTAGGCAGCGGCTTGGCTCTGCCTCTGGCATTGCTGACGTCCATGAGCGACGGTGACCACTTACCATCAGGTGGGCCGTATGCTCGTCTGCCTACAAAGGCAATAAAAAAAAAAAAAAAAAAAAAAAAGGATCACTACATAGTGGGACATTGTTGTTGTCGCCTTGTGGCGAGAGTAGACAGGAAAGTACTCACGTTATCAGCTCATATCAATGACATTATCAGTGCGGGGCAATAGTGTTGAGTAAAGAGTTCGGTCGATAAACACGCTCATTATTTTCATGCTATTACTTGTCTCGGTAATTTACACATCTACGAGTATAATCACAAGTAAACTGATTTGTTAAGGCGACGTTAAACAGATCGGAGCTAGAATTTACAGTATTATTGCATTCCCGGATAATTTGATAAAGTATTATTGTAACTGAGCACAGGGAAAAGTGTCCGTTCAGAGAAACAAATTAACCTTAAACCTACATGCGTTCGATGATCGAAGAGGGTCATTCTACTACCGGCTGCTTTTAAGGCGACAACAATACCTCAAGTTTTTTAAACATTACAGATCATATTACTAGACACTAGACACCGATACAGACAAATTCAAAGCTGTTGTTCTCGGAACAACCTTGAATACAATATGAAAGCAAAGGTTGCGAGATTGACAAACAACGCAAGAAAAGACAATTCTTAAAAAATGGTGTTGGGTATGTTTTTGTTATGATTAATATTTGAATGTAGTTTTTCAACTTATTATTGGGACAAGCATCTATCTGCATGAAGGATGCCAGAACACAACGGTCAGATCACAAGATTTGAACGGACACTCGGCAGCCGAGAAGTATCTGAAGGGGCATGTAATGACCACCACCACCACCACCATGAATTTTGGAACAAAGTGCGCAGAAAAGTTTATTTTTTTCATTCTATCAGCACACAGTCGTCGATTACTGGACATTGGCCTCCCACAAGCGTCGTCACGACGATCGGTCCTGCACTGCCTGCATCCAGCGGGGACCCGCGAACCTTTATACCTTGAATAGGTTATGGTAACCTTATCATAAGGGTCTTCAAATCGATTTACTGATTTTTTTTATATTGTGCCTGTGGCTTCTCTCCGGGCCCTTCTTCTCTCTTCGCATATTTTAGATTTTTTAAGTACTGGATTTTTTACTTTTGCGGCCTTCCGAAAATACATAATATGTAATGGAGGCATTACAATGAAAAATAAACTTATGTATTTCTTTAAAATTTAAACGACAACATGGTAAGTTATCTTTCTGATCATCAACACTCTCCACTTTGTGATTCAAAAACTCTGAGATTCGATGCACAAAGAGCGGCGACATCACATTAGTCAGATGCATAAATCTTCCATACTACATCATGAGGTGACGTAAGCGACTGATGATTGGTTACAAATGGGCATCAAGGCAACCGCTAATGAGAATGTTAATAATGCATGATGCCATTACATTCAGGTGTATCAAGAAGAGCTTAAATATTCATTTTATCCTGTTTATGTCAACTCCAGAGTAGTTTTTTTATTTAACTGTTCAGTGTGGGTCCCGATTTTATTGAAGTACATTTTCTAAGTATGTACGTGTCGAGTCGGCGACGTGATCGATACTACTATAACAAACACAGGGTTTCAAACAGTCTATCTATTTAGACTAAAAAAAACAACTCAAAACTATTCTTTTAGAAAAAAAACAAAGTCATAAGTAACCCTAGTGTGTTTACGACTTCAATCAATGTTTACGATACATAAGACTGAGCTTTGTCGGACTCAGCTTCCGACCCGCGCTCCGGTCACCGAGCAGCGACGGGGAAACTGTCCCATTGTCATCTCTTTAAGAATCATCTGCAAACCCAACGAATTACTATGTACGTGCGCCACTAATTCAATTAGCGTGTTACGTCTTAGGGATCGAATCTAGGTCATTCCGACAATCTAGCTCGGGATTCAATAGTAAAATCAGAGAAGTTCTTTTGACAAAATTTACATCGGTAAAGTCATGTTATATTTAAAATGATAATTATCACAACTGGTGTTTATGAGTGTAACCTTGTGTGTCGAATAACGCTCGTATCATAGGATTAATTAGTTTTCACCCAGTGTCGCACGTCTTGTTACATCCACATTATTTATTGATCTAACCAATTTACCAACGTTATAAATGTAAGAACATACCTACATAATACAATGACAGTTGCTACTCGGATCATTACAACAGGTAGGTAATTTAGAGCGGGTTGCTTAGACTAGGTAATAATAGCGGGTTGCTTTTCTTTAAATAAAAATAAGAATTAAGTAAGATTAATTTTGACAGTTGATCTGCTGGCTTTTAAATTGCTTACCTACCTACTGGTAAAGAGTTATTCATTGAAGTACTCTTTGTTTAGCGCATCACAACCACACGAATTTGCTTTGAAAAAAATATTGACATGAAGATGTTCCTTGTGTGTGGGGATTAATTAAACTATAAGTCAATAGTTTTTAACTGTTTACAAAGATCATTGAATACTTCAAATCATGCCTGACCTATTTCTAGTTTGGTGACGGTCAAATCGCATTAATCAGGTGCGCAGTCATCAATGTCAGCCGAACTAGTCCAATCTGATCTTGGCACGGTCGTCGACGGCACGGTGTCCGGCGAGGGGCGACCGGCACGAACACGCATGCGCGAATCGGACGACTTTTACGACAAGGTGCATTCCAGACGACATAACTAAGTCGGGTGACAAAATTAAACTTTGAGAAACAATAAAGCGGATACGCATCAAATGGACGGTTGCACCTTCTCGTCTCTATCGGCGAGATATAAATACACAAGACTGTAGCCGCGTTCCTGATCTACACAGACTGGTGGTCGATGACATTTGGACGTAAGCCTTCTCGGCGCGATACCTACGACATTCCACGTGTCGTGTCGCGCGGCCGATCCAGGTGCTTCAGTGTAATGAGAGCGAACCTTGACGCGACCTGGCAACTTAATATTGTTATGTGGACGCTAACTGATCGCAAACTGTTCTCTCTCACGAGTTCGGACATCCTTCCGGCTTCTTGACAGCGAGTAGCGACTAGTGTTAGTGCTACGCCAACACAAGCAGCGAGTTAAATGCGGCGACGGCCGCGGCGCCCGGGCGGGAGCTGGCGCCTCGCCCGCCCCCACCCTCACACTCACCTTCGGGGTGCAGTCGCTGTGGGTCGAACCAGGCATCTGGAAGAGAAGGCGGCGCGTTAGCGGGTTAGTTGCGACAGAAAGAAGAAGCGAGAGAAGCGTATTCGGCGCGGCTACTCACGGGGGTCGAGGATGGTGCATAGCGAGGGTGCTGACTCGGGCATGCTGACACTTTACGTAACGCGTGAGAATGAGAAACGAGCGGCGTTTGTTACGGGCGCCGCGCCCGACTCTCGCGTCGATACTGGCGAGGAGGAGCCCCGCGCCGCTCATCCCCTCCCTCCCTCGCCCCGCGCCACCACACAACCCGCACGCATGCGCGGCCCAGCTCACCCCCGCACTGCATCACCCTGCGACCCTCGACCATACCCTCGACCGCAAGCATGCTTTTACATTTCGCACTTAAACTTTAAAAATCAAAATCCTACGAAAACAGGCAAACTAAGGCATAATATTAAAAAGCAAATGATAAAATACTTACCTACTTCACGAACATCACAAGCGAGTCACTTGATTAAAAGCAAAACAGATAAAAGCAAATCAAAATCTAGTTTACCTACTTGCTTCATGGAAGAAACAACATTAATGTCATTCAAAACAAAACAAAATCCAATCGTGAAGAAGCGAACGATTGTGCTATAAGGTACAATATGTGCCGGTCGATCATAGCCTGGTGACCCTTATCAGCTACAGACGTTATAGTTGATAGTGCCGACAGTGAGTCAGCTCGTACGTCATCACACTTAGCACATTAAATCACGTTCCTACATACTGACGATACTACTCTAATTGCACTAGTTCAAATTGCATCCTCTAGTACATAATGTAGATACTTAGTAAAAGTTATACAATTAGTTACGCAATGAGTGTGAACCACTTCTATTGGATTTATTATATTCTTTACCTACATGTTATTGTGAGTTTTTTAAGTAATCTGAAACAGCGAGTCATGTCTTAAGGGGAGCAGCATAAATTATAGGTTAATGCAGAACATCTAGGAATATCCAGGAAACACAAAATCTCAATAAAAGGATTAGTTACATTGACAGTACAGCTTAAAAAGTACTCAACATTATGAACAATAGAATTTAAAGAACAAAATAGGTCAGCAGAATCAAATGTATAAGCTCCTGCAGTTGAGATTGCTGACAAATTGCAAAAATATGAGTGTAATGTTCATAGGCACCGGCATCACTCAACACCAGTCGGATTGTCACATCGTCTGTCTAACCTGTCTTCCGGCTTACTTGTCCCAAACGCTGCGCTTTGGTAGTTTTGGTGTGAACACTAAGATAGCCGCTATCTAATGCCATTGGGAATAAAGGTAACAGACAATCGTAAAGCATAAATTACCAAAATAGGAACCGATAATCAACTACTAATGACCCGATGACTCTTTAGTGCAAATCACACATATCTAGTGCCTATCCTACTTAGGTCACATCAGCAGCGATGCGGCTACAGAGTTCAATAGGCCATAGGACTAAATTAGAAAGCATGCGAGGAACGGATAGCTTTGCTATTGGAGACGCTATGAGAGTAAGACGATAGTGTAGTCTAATAAGGTCTACTATAAATAAAATCCATCCTTATTTAAACGATAAGGCACATGAAAAAAGTTTTGGACTTATTTAACTACTTCTTCAAAGAAATATTCTAAAGTTGAGGTTGACTGCTTCATTCTGCCGTGAAGCAGTAATGCGTTTCGGTTTGAAGGGTGGGGCAGCCGTTGTAACTATACTTGAGACCTTAGAACTTTATATCTCAAGGTGGGTGGCGCATTTACGCTGTAGATGTCTATGGGCTCCAGTAATCACTTAACACCGCCCACCTGGTGTTAAATGGTTACTGGAGCCCATAGACGCATTACTGCTTCACGGCAGAAATAGGCAGGGCGGTGGTACCTACCCGTGCGGACTCACAAGAGGTCCTACCACCAGTATAATTCTTGGGTCTTCGACGGATAGAAAACTACTCAAATTGTTTTCCTATGCGTTTTTTCATGCTCTGAGCAAGTTAGATAGTGTGGCAACTTAATACAGTACCTATTCATGAACATTTTCTAGTGAAACACGGACGACATTGACCGATTACCTTCATGCACCGTCAGACATCACACAAAAAGTTCAACCGACTCCAACCAAACTATTCATCGTTGAAAATCGGCAATTTAAGATACCAGTTAACGATTTATGGCGATTCTATTATATTGTGAAAACACTGCAGAAAGCCAAAAGAGAATTATAACTGTAGCAATGTGGATAAATTTATATGTTCATCCATTGCTCCAAGTATTGTGTCCACGAATGCGATTAGTTACTATCGTTGTTTACGCGACTCACGTTTTGTCCCGATTATTCTATTAGGTAATATAATTTTTTATTTTAAATTTATGATTTTTAAGTTTTTATTAAGTACTCTGACTAAAAATCGTAAAATTATTCTTAAATGAAACCGAAAAGCCATTGTAAACATTTTCCACTTACTTTAAATACCTTTTTATCCGACCATAGGCAAACGAATTTAAGGCCCATGTAATTTTATATGGGTAATTACGAGGATAACGGACAATGTGCAATGAGCATGCTATCGAACTCCAGAATCTACGACTTCATCTTCGACATTTAATTTACAATCAATTACTAACAATTTAATTTGTTTAAATATCCAGTCTTTGCAACGAGTAAATTATTTCTAGTTTCATTAAGCGAATGTTTTAAACATTTTGTGGTCACGTACTCCTCGCTTCGAAGTTGCAGATTTGGTACAATTAATTCCATCAACGCCATAATAATATTAAACTGTCATAATTCTTCGTTACGAGTTTTTATCTACCTATTCGCTGGTAGCCTAAGGGGCTATTGCAGCTACGCGCGGACGTGTAGGTCAGCTTTCGGGCTCAACCTAGGACAATTTGCTAATTGTAACCCTAGCAAGGGCAGTGCTTCGCGAAATCTACCACCGGATCGGAATCGCGATCCACTGAGAAGATTTGCCGAGAAAGTCAGTGGGCTGTTTACGAGTATCCACCAAGCCTCTTTCGTACAGACTCACATTACAATGCGTGGGTACGTAACTTGAACCTACAATATATTCTCTAAATTAGCGATTAGCTGGTACTATGCTTATGGTGCAAATGTCTTATGGTGCAATTTTTAATAACCAAAACATACAATAAAAATGATATAATTTGAAGTATTGCATTAAATTATTTGGGGCCAATAGATCTTACCCGATACGATATTAATAATCTAGATATGCGGATGAGAATGGACGCCACCGCGGGGTGAAGACCCAACGGAGCAGAGCGTACATTTGGCGCCACGGTCCCGCCTATTTCATTCGCGAATGCTTTCGTTGCGAACAACGATAGGTATTTACGTTCTCGCATCGAAATACCGCTAACTAAGAGATAGCTGAGCTGAGATGAGCTTAATAAAAAATTAACAATCTGAAAGCAAGCTTACTATGTATTTATGATAAGCCATTTTAGGAGACGCTTAAATAACGCCATTTCGGAATAAGTGTACACAACATCATATTTTGTTATACCAAGCCACGCGACTAGGCCAGCGTCAGGTACTTGTTCAAAGTTGTTAAAATTCAAAATTTCTTAAAATGATCACGATTCCGACGTGGCAGATGGACAGCACGTCGTACTTTGAAGTATTGTATTGTTATTGAGTTCAGCCTCGTTTATTGTGGTATGTACGAATATATTGAAATCACGAGAAGCCTTGCATGAGTCACCCGGTCCCGCCGGTACTGATTGCTCGGGCCACACGAGTCTACACGATCATAACTCGAAACTGTTCAATAGCACGCAATTCAACTTTCAAACAACGACCATAATTGAAAATGTTGGCGGACTTGTTCCACGGCCAGACGCACGAACACTCATTGACTTGGGTCCACGCAGCCGCACGGGCTCCGGGCGCTCCTGTCTCGGAAGCTACGGGGATGTTCTCTGTACATATCTTCGTAATGACGTCTCTAATGACGAACAGATAACTACAAACATATTCAGAAAAATCTCAATTAACAAGCTCAGAATAAAATTAGTCGTATGCGTGTGCACAGAAACATTTGACACTCTTAATTTCAAAATTTTAATTAAAATAGATAAATGTAGAACTGAAGTACTTGTTCTTTGTGACGTCTACCTTGGAATATGAGGTCGAAATCTCAATTGTATTATTTGTATCTCAGCTATTCCATCCTTTAAATCAAAAGGTAGGTATGACTTCTTGGCAGAAGTAGGTAGTTTTTTTTTTTTTTTTTTTAGGTAGTAATGGAAAGTAGGTAGCATGTGGGCTCAGAACTAACAATACCTATCTTCATTCATACCGAAATTCAGTTTTTGGCGGCTTCATGTTAAAACAAAAAAAAACATTCAGAAAAGTATTCAAATACTGTTAATAATTGACGTGGTAACAACGCACGCGAAATACCTAGTGATTCATTTGACGAGCCGGCACCCCCTTAGCACTTTAATCGATATCATAGTACACAGCTCACCAAGCTCACAATAGCTGAAACAAGTGAACGCGGTGCGTTGATGGCGAGTAAAACTTCCTGTGAGGAGCTTTAATCACAGTTAGCTATCACTGAGATTATGTTCGCACAACTAACTGCATGCAGACTAACTGTAACCAACCGGCTCAATTTGAGCTCAAAGTTAGGTTAGAAAGCCTACATCTAAAAGAGAGTAGCCGAAAGTAATCGAGCGACCAGACCACGAAAGGAATGTTTCATATCGATTCTGGTTCCTGAAATCAATGCGTTTCAACAATCAAACTCTCCAGCTTCACGTGGTGCGGATATATGCACAACTCGTGCCGCTAGTGCCGCTACTCTACCAGCGACATGTGAGTCACGCTGCGTATAACGTTCGATATTTTAGTAACAATTTACAAATCACCTGATTTTCACCTGTGATTTCAAATCGAAGTCGAATCGAAGCTTTCAAATTATTCAGGTAATCTTCGAACTCATTCTGAGTCAAGATATACAATTTAAAAAGTTCGCTGATAGGTTTTGCACACCTACGTCATATTCTGTTATATATTGGATAGAAATCTCAATGAAACTATAATAAAAATGCTAAGAAAAAGAAACTTTAATTTGATTAAATGTGAGCTCTGTCAAAGTTGTTGTAGTAATACATAATATACATTATGGTAAACTATATTTATGACCTTGTGACAGACAGGCACACGCTCACGGTCTGATAGTCAGCCAGGCCAGTCAGGTGGTCGTGGACGGAATCCTCTTTTATAGAACATACACTGTTGTCCTCAAGCTAGCCACTAATATTAGCCTATCAACAACGCAGCGAACGAACAGGTCTCGCTTTAAGGACAAGAGGGCAAACGTTATCTGTGTTATTATTGCGATGCGGTGTCAGTGCACTCGCGACAATACTCGTCGAGTATATGCACTCACTTGGAAATGTATATTACTTATGTTACAATCTAATACTCAAATATAAAAACACTGTTGTAAGAATGGCCAACCCGAACCTTGTAGCAAACTTAAAGGCGTCATAAAATATGAAAATATGTAACCAAATTTTCATCATACGTGCCAGCTTAATAAATTTCTGGCTGAAACATACCGAGCAGTCGTCCTAGCTATGACCGATGTCAGATAAAGCGGTCACCATCGTTCTTCGATATCAGCAGAACTATTGAAGTTACAAAAATTATAGCTGATAGTTCTAACTAAGTGTCAACACTGGCACCTCTGTCTTCTCTTCGCAAATACTATTCGAATGAATCGCCAGTATGGCCCGAATCAAAGCTTGCAAAAAAGCACGATATTTATTTGGCAGTTTTGTTTATAAATCTACCTAGTTAATTATTGGCATGTCTTCGTAGCCTTAGAAATGAAGGAGGAGGTGTAAAATTGTTCAATAGATTAGCATAGAGTCGTGTATCCAAGGGAACAGACGGTGTGTCTGCACGGAGGGCGGTATCGATTGGAGCCGAGCGCCGCCGCCGCGCCGCCCGCCCCTTACTGCACGAATGTCTGGCCCCGACGTACATCACCAAATATATACTAACCTATCTCTAAAACTAGACATTTACTTTTATCAACATTTTCGATGGTTGGACGTGCCGCAGGACATGATTGCCTCTTGAATTCACTGTCTATTTATTACAAATGTCTTTACATACGTAACGGAGTAATGATGCGTTAGCTTAGTGCCACTGAGGCACAAAGTGGCCTGGTGTTCACAATGTTATCAACCTCTCGGTTCAAAACGGATACGTCTTATATCAGGACATATTGTTCGTCAAAAACGTCAATTCGATTAAGATGGGAGTGGCTAAGCCAAGGGTGACATTTGGTAACGTCATCGTTTTCAAACAAAGAAAACAGCGCACCGAGTGAAGAGGGTGACAACTAGGACAACGCCGAACCGAAACACTACCCTATTCCAGATTACAACGGCATAGGAATTACTTTAGGAGTCTTACGAGAATCTAATATCTACGCAGTGATATTTTAAAGCTAATATAATATTATCATTAGTTGTATTATTGAACGTATTGAAATCCAAATTGAATCATGTTATCAGAGTCCTCTGGGTACTAGAGTATCAAGTTCACAACAGGAAGCTATTACTGATAATTATAAAACTGTAACAGAAAACCAAATGCATATTTAAATTAAATTATTACGTGTTTACAAATGAAAAGGTGTACAGGAGGTACCTACGTGCCCAAGTCCAAAAGACATTATTTTGTTTCTTGGTTAGTTTGTAACCCTGTATGTTAGTTCGGTAAAAAATATCTTCTCGGCAGGCTTGTTTGGAAAACAGGCGGCTAGCATTGTTATCATGATTGGTTTTAAAGCTAATACGTGACTTCAATATAGCAAATAGCAGTGAATTTAACTAATGGTGTCTGAAGCTATGACACTGATTTTAATATATAGTAAAAATAGGTTATTAAAGCCAAAATTCAACAAACGTACTCAGTTGTTGGTAGACGTGTCGGGAATGGACATAATCACAGAAAGAAAATTAACGAACTATTTCTAAAACTAAACTGCTCTAGTTCTGTCCCTAGCTGCGTAGCTACGATCGACAATATTTAGTTTCATGTCTTTAGGTACTGATTTTTGTGTATTTTTTATTTATTTCTTACTTGGGGCTCCCACCTGATGTTAAGTGGTTACTGGAGCCCATAGACATCTACGATGTAAATGCCACCCACCTTGAGATAAATATAAGTTTTAAGGTCTCAATATAGTTACAACAGCTGCCCCACCCTTCAAACCGAAACGCATTACTGCTTCACGACAGAAATAGGTGGGGTGGTGGTACCTACCCGCGCGGACTCACAAGAGGTCCTACCACTAGTAATAATAATATTCAAATAAAAATGCCGCAAATAAAAATTCGCGGGTTTGATTTTTATTATACAATGTTATTCCTTCACCGTGGAAGTCAATCGAGAACATTTGTTGAGTACGTATTTGATTAGAAAAATTGGTACCCGCCTGGGATTCGAACACCGGTGCATCGCTCAACACGAATGCACCGGACGTCTTCTCCTTTAGGCCACGACGACTTAAAATCTGAAGTCCGCAAACAGTTACGAAATAGCAATGTGTCGGAGCAACCGACGCAACCGTGTCACTATGCGCCATGCGGGATGGCAGTGGACAGATATAATTTATGCCGGCAGATACTGAATAACCGTTCTCTATTCAACTAAATACACATACGTTTTGCGAATATTACAAACTATACCTAAACATTGCTAACTACGAGCAGACGAGAGACAGCCTAGTTTTGAAAATCAATAAAATAACGCTAGAGATAATAGGTATTGGTTTGTTTGCGACGGAGCTCTGAGGACGTTTCGGTCACATGAAACGTCTCGAAACAAAAAAAATCGATGTCACGCATAATTAAACGGAGAACAGACACAATATGTCCGTATCGAACGCCTTCACTGACTACATAATCATATGTGTAAATATATGTAGCGCAGCTCTAATAGCTTAACGTTCATATCCTTCCAGTACAAGCGCCAAAAAAGGCCACGGGACACAACGAATGATTCCGGTTGACGTAATTGTTTACTGATATCAGTGCGATTGGATTATATTTATACTTGTATGAAAGGGAGGAAAGCACACCGTGCAGCAGGAGAGCACTCGCTCGGGTAACACACACAGCCGACCTCGGTAATGAAGCGCCAACCCAAGGTTTTATAGTTTTTTCCACATACTCACATGTGACATCGGCGCTATCGGATCCCATGTTTGTTTTCAAATAGGTACACAATTAAATTACAATTTAGCGAAGAGTTATGAGTCTCGATCACTGTTAGAACACAATGCTACATGACAGAGTGCCGGCGATGTGGACAGCGAGAGCGCGGAAGACGTGAGCCGGCCTCCGACAGATCCTCGGTTGTGTTCGTGCCGCTTCCGAACTGCTGCTATAATTAGCATCGGCGGTCTGCACAGAACGCTTACAGCGCGCCCCAATCTTACGTCGAGTGCCATTTTTTCATGACATTATCTATGAATCTACCGCATCTGAGCCCGCGATTAGATACAGTCTGCGTAACTTTGTCGCTCTGAGTCCGCTGCGATAAGGCAAACCTACTATCTCTAGTGAAGTACGGCCTTCAAGCATTATTTGCACTAACTCGATTTTATGATAAAGGAACGTGACACAACGTAAAGTCACAACAAATGAAATGCAATCATTAGCTACAATAAGTTCTCGATTGATCTGCATTCTTCACTAGTTGTGCACCTGATGCATCAACATGGTTATTGCGATATCAAAGATGTATGAAATGTAATAATTAGATGAGTCTGTATTGTACGTGCATTGTGTTGATCTCAATTGGCAATGGAACGGAGGGTGAAAGGCGAAGTGAGCGGACATGGTTTTGCTGGAGGTGCAACCGTGCAGCGACAGACAGCCGGCTCCGTTAGCCGACACTGCAGCGCGGTCATCGCTCTTGCCGCTCCGCCACCTCGCCCACCTCTGCGGACCACCCCTCCCTCGCCGCCCACACACTTGCGAATCATACCTAATCATATTGCGTCTTCTATCCTGAGCGACTCTGAATCATACATTTGTATTGCGTCATCTCAGGTGTTCTAAATGTCGCTATGTCCTTGCTGACACACGGTGTGTAATGAAATATAAGGGAGAATAGTATGTTTTGTGAGCTAGCCGTCGCCGCCATTGTTCACCTGCAGACGAGATTCTTCACGCTCCGTGGCACATAGAACTAGACTATAAACTACATCATTGTACGTTCTAGCTACTGTGCGACAACATTTTGGACTAAAACGATAAAACTATACTGTTGGAAATTTGTAGGTGTGGCGATAATAAACACAAAATTAAAAGTTTGCATGCTCGGTCAACTATCGATTTGTACGTTGCGTGTCTGAAGCTAAACTGATGCTACATACGGATGCTTATTATATAAATAGAAAAACTGTAACTCACCAAGTCCCATTTGACAGAAGATTACTTCTGCTTCGATGACATGCGCCGTAGGTCCGCGAGTCGGCTCCGGCTTCTCCTCTACGGGGACCGGCTTTGGTTGCGAGGCTGGCTCAGGCTTGGGCGGAGCCACCTCTTCTCGCTTGACGGGTTCCGCTTTCGGCACCGGCTTAGGCTCAGGGACGACGGCCGGCTCCACTTTGGGCTCCACAGGTTTCTCGGGGACAGGCGGAGCGGGCGCGGGGGCCAGCACCGGTGTCGGGTCGTGAGCTTCAGGCATCGGTGGTTCCGGTGTCGGAGCGCTAGGCTTCGGGAGTTCGACCCTCGGCTCGGGCCGATGGAGGGGCGACTCTCCTGCAGTATCGGCGTCTGACTCACTGTCGGTAAATTTGTCGGCCATGTGGTCCATAAGCTTTTCGGCGACGGAAGGCGGCCGATGTTCCGCTGCGGGCCCACGTTCCATCTCCAAGAAACTCTGAGTGGCCACGCGATGATGGTGTACCGGTGAATCCGCCGGGTCTTGTTTAGTTTCACGATCGAGATGCTCGAAATCATCCGTCGAGTCCTGGTCGCGCTTCATGGTCTGATCCGCACCGGGCGCCGCATCACCGGCGGCGGCGAAGCCTCCCAGGAGGGCGCCTGTGCTCTCCATGATACTTTACAGAAAAGTAAAATAAGTGATCGATAGGGTGCGGTGCAGACGCGAGTGCGAGGGTGCGACGAGCGGGTGAGTCCTGCCGAGTCTCGGCGCGGTGTAGTACTGCGGCGGGCGGCGTGCGGGGGCAGCGCGCCGGTCGCGGGTCGGCACTGCACGACGTCACTCACCACGAGAAACGGTACCTATTACTCACGGACCGGCCGCTGCACAGAGCGCCTCGATCGAACGTTGCACTGTTTCATGAAAATACATAAACTTCTTATGTTCTTAATGATTGGTCTAAATAACGTGAATGCGTCTTAACTGATCAACTTGTAGAAAACATAAAATCTATTGAAATTTCTTGCATACCTTTTTGTTAACGGCGCGGCGTGCTGCTTATGATGTTTTGACAACAGTGCCTGACAAGTTAGAATAGCAGTAATTTCACATAAAAAACAAAAACTTCGTAGAGATGCAAAACTATGTACATTCATGCTATCTAATGTTTCAATAAGGATACATACCTAAATAATTAAGTAAATTACTAGAAAATAAAATCCAATAGATAATAAAATTATTACATATATGTTTCAATATTTCTTTAACTTTAACACATTTATTATTTCATCTCCATGGAAAATAATGTTATTGTGTTCCCGTGACTTTTTGGCGGGAATGCAAGAAGTGATGCTGTATGGAGTTATTTAATTATTTTGAAGGTTAACAAATCTGAGAAACTGAAACAAAAATACCATTGAACTTTTAATGAATTTTAATTAACATTAAATGGATGGTTCCAAATTAAATGGAGCTAAATATATTAAATTGACTAAATTTAATATATTTAGCTCCATTTAACTTTTTATAAATCAGATACGGTTCTATCGCTGTTTTTTTTTTTCCTTCTTTTTGGCTTTTACATAAATCGCTGTGTTCCTTTGCTGATACAATAATTATATTTTTTTTCGGAAGACTACGTATCTAATACACATCGACTTTTTAGCGGAAAAGCACGGCGTTAGTTGAATTGTTTTATTTTGTTAACTTAATGTTTCCCGGTGTGGCGTTTAAGAACGCACCTTTTTATGATGCGTAGGTCGGAACGCATGAGAGGTGAGAAAAAGAATATAGTCTGTGACACGAGATCTTTTTACCGCCGAAAATTTAAAACGTAAAAATTAAATTATAATGTGTTTAATAACTAATATAATATAATATCTTAGAATTATTTATGCCCCTACAACAATAAAATTTCTATTGTTTCAACTGTGGTGTTAATTACATAAAACACGACATTACGGCGAAATAAAGAAAGGACTCTATAATGGACTCCCTCACCAGGCTTAAACGTGCAACAATGGTGACTTATTAACTGCTTAATATTTATGAAAGTGTACAAGTGTGGGAAATTGAAACATCGTCCCTGAACGTAGCTTCTCAGGCTCTTTCAATGAGATTTATGTAAATTGCTAACATTTAACTGAGGGGCCATTCAATTCGTCTCAGTCAGTACCTTAATAAAATTCAGAATCATAATATAAATTAAAATAAGACATGACTTAAAGATTTTAGTTACCAGGTCATAAAATCCCTTAAAAAAAGGTGCTAAATCTATGGTATGTTTTTTTAAGGAATTTTATGACCTGGTAGCTAAGACCTTTAGGTCAAGTATTATTTTAATTTATATTCTTAAATTTTTATGAAAAATGATAATATGGAGCGAAATGAAATGAAGTTGATTAATATGAAACATTGCATGATTTTAGCGTACTTTTTGGGGGATCCCGAGAAGTTACGTTCAGCGGCTTTGTTTCATTTTTCCCACTTTGTGCACTTTCACAGAGATACTAAACAATTAATAAACCACCATTATTACGCATTTAAACCTGAAAAAGCACTAAATAGACAAAAAAAAAAAGTGTGCAATTCACACGTGGTAGAAGTGAAACCTTCCAAAATTAAAATACAATTATCCTAAACGTCTTAAGTATATGTAAAATTTTGTCATTTGTAAATAATTGTAAGGTAGCGCCCTCTGTGAATTGATATTTTAATTTCACGTATAATCCTAAATTAAAATTCACTATAAGAGCTTTCATACACACGTTAGTATTAAAAAATCTCACAGATGGCGCTGTATTAAATAGTATGTATATTTCTGTCTCATTCTTTGCTGGCTTCATCCTACACATTTTTGTATTTGTGTCTCNAATTAAAATTCACTATAAGAGCTTTCATACACACGTTAGTATTAAAAAATCTCACAGATGGCGCTGTATTAAATAGTATGTATATTTCTGTCTCATTCTTTGCTGGCTTCATCCTACACATTTTTGTATTTGTGTCTCTTACCTGTCGTTTTTTCCGTTGCATCCGGTTTGAAATCACAACGATTCTAAAGAAGTTTTCACTTCAATAAAACAAATCACACAACTTCACTCCTCGCGTTCCCGCCAAAAAGTCCTATGGGATGGTACCTATCTAATATCTATCACCAGCCGTAGATATTACACCGGTCACTCACATGCGCACGAATAAGCAATAGTCTAGTCAACAAGTTCAAAAACGTGTTAAATAGACATAAAGCTCCTAAAAATATGTACGATGCGGAATGATGTCTACAAAAATGTTTTTTAAGGGCTTGTTAGCACATAAAAAATTGCGATTGTTATAAACAAAATAAGATTTAAAAAAAAAAGAATTTGGTTTTTCCTTAATAATTTCTAAAATAATGATATTTAAGGAATTTTGAATAAAGATCCTGAAAGAGGAGGAAATTTCCAATAAAAAAGTCCCAACTCCCGGAATTCTATCTCTATTATTTATAAAAAAAAATTAACGCTGAAAATAGCGCTCCGCGAGGTCGCTACGGCATAGGCGCGCCGTCTAAAAAGCCGGTATATCACCTAAAATATTTTTTTTATAGTATTAAATAACAATTTAAAAATTTGAATAAATTANCGATCGGCGCGTGTCCCGTCAGTGAGATTCGGCACACTGATGCTTCGATATTAGCGAGCGCGGGAGGATCGAGCGGGACGCAATGCAGGGCTCTTCTATAGTAAATGACGGTACCACCACCACGAGCAGAGAGCCTGTCGTTCCTGACCATGTTATAGTTCGCGATTTTAGGGTCACGGCGCGCGGGCTTAAGTAGGGTCTCGAAACAAAAACTCGGCTAATAGTGCAGTTATACAGTTACAGTGACATACAGTTAGTGAGTCACGTAGAATAAGGCTGGGCGTATACTCTTCGGTTTTTTTTTCTACCTATTGTGATAGCCTTGAGAGGCTTATTCAGTTTCTCCGTAACGTGTAGGTGAGCTCACGAGGCTCAAATTGGGAGTGTTGCTAACACTGGTCCTAGTAAGAGCAGTGCAGAATCTACCATCGGATTGGAACCGCGACCCGCCGAGAAGATCCGGCGAGAAACTCAGCGGGCTGATGCATGGGTTAGGTTGCACGTCGACCTCTTTGTCGAGTTCGATGAGTACGGTTACCGGGGTCCCTAAGCCTGCTCCTAGTGTTAGAGGTGAAGGATCTGATGGATCCGTATGAGTATAGTGTAACTGAACCCTATTGTTAAAATAATTCCTATTATACCGGTCCGCCATTTTTTATTTATTGCTTATATGGGTGGACGAGCTCACAGCCCACCTGGTGTTAAGTGGTTACTGGAGCCCATAGACTTCTACAACGTAAATGCGTCACCCACCTTGAGATATAAGTTCTAAGGTCTCAAGTATAGTTACAACGGCTGCCCCACCCTTCAAACCGAAACGCATTACTGCTTCACGGCAGAAATAGGCAGGGTCGTTTCCAAGTTGACTGCACATAACTAACTACAAGCCAAATAAAATGACGTACAAAAAATAATATAATAGAGCAAAGGTTACAAGAAGAGGTCATTTTCATACAACTCAGACTCAGTTGCAACTTCGATTTTCTTATCTAATAGACAAAAAATCATCTTTGTGTGTTTGCTCGTTCGAAAGCGCTCGCGCGTACTTATTCCAAACGTTGTACAACTTTGTACAGTTGTTGTTGACATTGCCGTATCGTATAATAAAAAGACAAGAAATTATAATTCGGTAGGTCTATAGAACTTGTAATTAGAATTTTATAATTTGACAACGTCCCACAATGTCAGTGTCCAACCTAACACCAGTTCTTCATAAGATAGCTTCTATTTATGTGCTCAATAGAAAATGCGTGGTTCACTCGGCACTTTGATGGTGCCTTTGCAATCCACCGCTGTATCGTGAACTGAGATTAGACAACGAGTATTTAGGGTTGTCTAAATTAATAGGACATTCAAAAAAGCTTCGGTAGCCCTTCTGAAATATCTTTCGGAATTGTGACTTTAATTCACATTAGTCAGAATTAAAATTAAATATTATTTAAGTAAGACAAAACAACGAATTCATTGAACAATGTTGTTTGACCTCGAACTTGAGTTGAATTTATACAAAAAAAAATTCGACATTGTCAGGAAATCGGACCTCCAATTAACTCGATGAAGCGTTGCGTGTTACAACCGTTATTTATTAGTGTTATAAAATATAAAGTTTTTAGAACAGGTTAAAGAAATAAAATTCGCCAAGGTACGTTCGGAACGTAATCAAACGTCCAGCTGTATCATTCAGTTCGATAGAGTACAACCATTATGAACTAGAGAACTGCGTTTGAATACGTAACTAACCAATACTAGAGGGCCCGCAGTAGTCGAAATTCGACTATAATAAATTGGAATTGTAAGTTTGTACACTATTATGATTGTATTTTATACTTCTATAATCACAAATTTCGCCAAGACTATACTATAAAAAATATTAACAAAGACAAACAATATTTAATCTCAATTTGACCATAGACGTCAAGAACAAAAGTTTGACAATAAATCACAATAAATAGTATGCATGCGTGTGTGCGTCAAATACATGGTATGTAGTATGTGTAATATTTTCTTGATTGATTTAATGTATCTTTTATGCGTTATTTTTAAAAAAATATTAGCATTGTGCACTTCTTCTCTATATTCTCTATAAGTGTGGAAAATTTCATACTCCTCCGTCCGCGCAATTTTCGTAAAAAGGGATACAAAGTT